CTTTATGTCCTTTGAATCAATTCATCGGACGGTCAAGATGAGTTTGTACTTTGTAAATTAAGAAGGGTTTGTATTTGATCTCTATTATATATATATATATATATATATATATATATATATATATATATATATATATATATATATATATATATATATATATATTACACAGATTTAAACTGGACATATAGTCATGCGAGTAGGCAGGAGCACAAGTTAAACTGGACCATTATGAAAAATTCTTATGATAAGAAAATTTTACATACGTAGTATAAAATATAGACATATAATTGTTGCGAGCTAGTGGGTAACCTTATTAATTACTCCTGGGTCATTGACCAGATGCATTCTTGTTCTGATTCTTATAACATCGGTCATCGATGAACAGGTGAAAGATGGACATAACGGGCGATCCCTTTATTGAATCCCAGCAGTCTTGCACATTCAGATTCTCTGCATCAATTTTTTGGTTGGGAGGCAGAAATAGAGAATCTCAGGTTAATAAATGAGGGAGAAAGTGCTACAAGGGTTAGATCCCGGATTCAAATCCTCAAAATGGCTCGGCTGAACGGTATATCCGCACTCTAAATAATATTGCACGGACTATATTACTTCACGCCGCTGTCCCCGCCAATCTCTGGCCTCACGCCATCCATATGGCCGCCTATCTTCATAATATCCTCCCTAGCAAACCTCTCCACTACCTATCACCCACTCACCTTCTTTATCATAAAATACCAACATATGACCATCTTAGAGTTTTCGGTTGCTTGTGTTTTCCACACCACCCTTCTGTTCATATTAACAAGCTTGAAGCCCGTTCTACCCCGTGTGTCTTTCTTGGCTACCCTCTCAACCACAAAGGTTATAAATGTCTTGATCTTCGCACGAATCGAATAATCATCTCTCGTCATGTAACATTTGACGAAAACATTCTTCCATTCAAAAATACCACATCCTCCCCCACATATAATTTTCTGGATGACCCCAACCCCATGCTCCGTCTTCTGCCTATTTTATCCGGATCACATTTCCCAAATCCCCATTCGGTGCACACCGACCTCTCTACCCACCAAAACTCTCCACCTCATCCAAATAGCCTGACACCTTCTGCCACTCCTACACATACGGCCAGCCCATTAAATCCATCCCCACCCCACCCAAATATTATCCTACCACCTCCTAATATCCCACCTCCAGCCCCCTCACGTCCTATGCATGCACCATGCAAACCCCCAGCTTCTCATCCCATGCAAACGAGAAGCCGTTCTGGGATTCACAAACCCAGACAACTATTTAATTTATTCATCTCCTCCACACCATCTCCTCTTCCCCGTTCTCCTATTCTTGCCCTTCAAGACCCTAATTGGAAAGCCGCTATGGATGATGAGTTTAGTGCTTTAATTAAGAATGAGACTTGGGAGCTAGTTCCCCGCCCACCTAATGCCAATATTATTCGTTGTATGTGGTTATTTAAACATAAATACAGGTCTGACGGTGTATTGGAACGTCACAAAGCTCGGCTCGTGGTCAATGGTAAATCTCAACAGGTCGGCATCGATTGTGATGAAACTTTCAGCCCGGTTGTTAAACCGGCTACTATTCGTCTTGTACTCAGCATTGCTCTCTCCCAATCTTGGCCCCTTCATCAGCTCGACGTCAAAAATGCTTTTTTACATGGTCAGTTGGAGGAGACTGTGTATATGCATCAACCACCGGGCTACCGTGACCGCTCTCGCCCTCATCATGTTTGCCGCCTTTTGAAATCTTTATACGGCCTCAAACAAGCTCCTCGAGCTTGGTATCACCGTTTTGCTTCTCTTCATATATTGGATTCACTCACAGTACATGCGATCACTCTCTCTTCATATATCATCAAGGTCGTCAAACTGCATACCTCCTCCTTTACGTGGACGATATTATTCTTACCGCTTCCACAGATCACTTCCGTCAATCCATTATTTCTCAACTGGCTGCCGAGTTTTCTATGACGGATCTTGGACCTTTGACATACTTCTTGGGCATTTCAGTCACCCGCCATTCCTCCGGATTATTCCTCTCACAGTCCACTTATGCCCGCGACATTTTGCACCGTGCCGGTATGGCGGATTGCAAGCCCGTCAGCACTCCCGTTGATACACAATCCAAGCTTAGTGCGTCTGATGGGCCCTCAGTTGAGAATCCTACACTTTATCGCAGTCTCGCCGGCGCACTACAATACCTTACTTTCACTCGGCCTGACATATCCTACGCGGTTCAACAGCTCTGCCTCTTCATGCATGATCCCCGGGAGCCCCACTTTCATGCACTCAAACGGGTACTACGCTATATTCAGGGCACTGCCCGATTTGGCCTTCATCTCGCTTCGTCTCCTCTCACGGACCTAGTATCCTACACTGATGCTGACTGGGGCGGGTGTCCCGACACTCGACGATCTACTTCAGGTTATTGTGTTTTTTTAGGGGATAATCTTATTTCTTGGTCCTCCAAGCGACAGCCTACATTGTCCCGTTCTAGCGCCGAAGCCGAATATCGCGGTGTTGCCAATGTTGTGGCTGAAACATGTTGGATTCGCAATTTATTAATTGAGTTACGTTGCCCTCTTACCAAAGCTACTCTTGTCTATTGTGACAATATTAGTTCTGTATATATGACTGGCAATCCGGTTCAACACCAGCGCACCAAACATATAGAAATGGACATTCATTTTGTTCGGGAAAAAGTTGCTCGGGGAGAGGCTCGTGTTCTTCATATTCCGTCTCGCCAACAATTTGCTGATATTTTTACCAAAGGTTTACCTCGAATATTATTTGATGACTTCAGGTCCAGTCTCAACGTTCGTACTCCTCCCGTTTTGACTGCGGGGGCGTGTTAGCCGATATTATCCCACGGCCAGTGCACATAATTGTTCTCATAATTATCCAATACAATTTGTGGTACATAATATAGGTCGTACATATCCATTAGGCTGCTGCCAATTATTTAGCCACGTATGGCTCCAACTAACTATGTATCTAGACTACTTTTGATAAATAGTTTTACGTAGATAGCTTTTGTATACATAGTAGGACTCTTGTACGTACAGCCTATTAATAGGCATATTCAATAATATTGATCACCACGGTGAATCTCACATTCCAACTCCGGCAACTGCGATGAGAGGTTACCATGCTAAAAATGCATAGGGCTCTGCAAGTACCGGGGACGGAGCCTCACTCTCTATCTGTCAGATTGTGATTATAGTCCAATTTACATCCTCCCATCGTGTCATCCGGTCGGTGTTGGGGGGCCCTCAGGGATAGGGTGTCATCCTTTTTTCTTTTCTTATGTTGACAGCGTAATGGTTTCAATTCTGAATTTCTGATTATATATTATCACTTTGTCTAATCATAGACCTGATTGCTCTTATGACGTTCAGATTAACTTATGAATGTTACTTAAAATCAAAGGAATTCATTTATAAAAAGTATATGGACTTTTTGAAAGTCCATGTAATTTAACTAGAATGTGTTATGTGTGCAGGATCACATGTATTATGGCAGGGATTTGTGTGCTAATAGGATTGAGTGCGAGCAAAAGTTATAATGGTACGTACGGTGAGGATCCTATACATTGAAGTGGCTATTTGCATTTTTCATTTGGTTTGTAGCGTTGCATACTTTTTTTAGCGCTGCTTCCATCCGTGGTACCGACTTTCTCAGCGATTATGCCTGACCCCGGCTTCTAGCCAAAGAGTTCATGAATTGAAGGACATCGGCAAAATTGATGAAAATATATTTATTTATGAATTTTCTCATTACATTAAGTTTGATGATACCCATTAGTCGTCTATTATTAACTCTTCTATACATTAGTAATACGATAGTATTAAATTTAAAATTTTCTCTTATTATTTACTACCTCCGTCCCATTTATATTGGGACGGAAAAGGGTGACACGGTTATTAAGAAAAGTGAGTTTGTGTGGTTGATATTAATTGATAAGGTAAGAAGAAAGTAAGAATGATTTAGAGTCACACAAATTTTGCCAAATATAGTATGAGACAATTTAAGTGGGACTTCCCAAAAAGGTAAAACGGGACAATATAAATGGGACGGAAGGAGTACTTATATTAAATCTTTATTACGTAATACATTAACAAATTAATACACCACTTAACAGTTCAATCATAAAAGAGCAGAGCGCGCTAACTTAAACAAACATTGAACACATCAAATTTAAACAGATCAAACCAAATCCATCGAGACTCATGACGAGAAAATTCTGTGGAATAGGTATTTATAACTTCTACCAATTTTTCTAAATAAAAACGACATGTCTTGCTTCTTTTGCTAAAATTATTAACTCTGGCTTTTATTTGCATGTTTATGTCGATTAATTTATTTTTTTGAAAGAATTTAAGTTTATTTGTAAACTTATTAAACCATGTACTTTCAAGTTCTCCTTTACCATTAAAAAACAAGAAATATGATGTCAAAAGTATCAACTCTGGCTTTTCTTTTTAGGTTATTCTAAGATTCAGGTTCACAATTTTTTGGTGATATTTATTTGGTCACACACTTTTTAGTTCCTACCAATTTTACGTAAGATACTACTCCGTACTCCGTAGTTATTTACTTTCTCTGATGTATCTTTAATCTGGCTGCTTTTTGAAAGTCAACAAAAATATTTCGTATTATCTTGTGGAAGAGCTTTGAAGTTAAACTCGGAACTCATTCAGGACATAGAATGTATTTGACAATTAAAGTGTCAAATTATGTTAATTCAAAATACAAAAACATATACTAAAGCTTCATGTCGATCAAATACAAATAAAATAAAAAAACTGAAAATCTATAATAATAAAAAGTTATATGTCCTGACTTGTCCATTTCAAATTTTTTCATCATTTAATGCATGTAATGCATGGTTGGAAATAAAGAATGACATAAAACATTTAATACATGTCTTATGTCCTGTTCATATGCTGTATAGATCATGCATGCGTAGGCAGCATAGAGACATAGAGTATTAATGATGTTTTTATTTGGACTGAAATTTTCTGGACCTAGTTTGGTTTGGAACTGAAATTATTTCAAGTAAAAACATCTTTAACTATTCAAAATATTGAATGTTACCTCTGAAAAATATCGAATGTTACAACGATATCAAAACTGACCTTTAAATTTTTCTCGACCCAACAATTAGCAATGCAAGAATTATAAAGCAAGAAACTACACACCATGTCATATCTGAGCCGAAGCACCAAGGCAAGAAATTAGGGTTTCCTTGTGAAAGTAAGAGATTTTATTACTTCAATCTTCAAAAGATGAGCAGTTGCAGTTGGAAGACCTGTTGAAACCAAATTATCTCTCAAACACTCAATTTCTTCTCTTCAGATGGGACGGCCCCTGAGTTTCTTGTATCCAGTAGTTCAAGAAGGCCCTTCTTCCCTGGCTTTGATGGAGAGTCGGATGGTAGAATTCCTTTCTTGATATCCTCACAGATGCTAGCAACCTGTCGTGTATCAAACATACATAGACATGCTGACTTGACAGAGATTTTTTCAGCAATGGTTTTGATAAAGGATGAAATGCTGAATACTTACAGTCTCTTCAGCACAGTAAAGATTGGTACCGATGATTCCAGTTGCTCCTCTTTTCAACCAACCACATACATATAAACCCTTCTCAACCTCTGTAAGATATGTAGAATCACTTAGGACACGGCCTCTAATGTTTGGAACTATGCCTGTGTAAGAAACCAAGAAAAAGAATCACTACCCCTCAAGTTCTTCATCCATGCTTTTGAATTTAAAACTAAAACTACAAGGAAAATAAACAAATTCCGAATAACATGCATGATACTAAGTATTATACGATAGTATATATTTGCTGCCAGACTGCACTTGTTTTACATAATACATACCATTCTTGTGATCGAAAGGTAAGCCATCTACACATATTGACTTATTACCAATGCTTTTCAAAACCAGCCTGCAAGCAGTTTCAAAGGCATCAAGAAGTATCATAGCCACACCAGTACAAATATAGTAGAGTAACCCTCCTAGGCATCATCTTTCTACATATAAAGCCAAAACAAGGTTTTACCCGCATCTAATGTCCTCAAACTGTCCTGTACCAACTGCAATCTGTTTTCCAGATCCAACATCTTCAGAAAATGTACAATAAAAAAAACAAATTATCCCATCCTATTCTTTTAGTTATGCATTAGAAAAATCCATAAATAGGACTATAACATAACACAAATCTTTAAATATGACCATCACAGTCATATGCTGAAAATAGGAGCCATTAACTTCTAAAAGAAGCATTATTAACTACTTCTATTCCTTTTTTAGGACTGGACAACGCCTATTTTTAGCACAAAGCAGGGATAGTCTTATTTGTATCCCTGCTTTGTGTTCTTAAATGCAACTAATGAGTTAGTTTAGGTTACAACTTACAACATAATTACATAGAATGAGAAGATGTCACAAAAAGTGAACTAAAAAAATTAAATGAAATGAAAATGCAATTATTTTAGAAGTATGCATTTCTTCCCCAATGTAAACTTCGATAAGAAAAATGGTCGTCTACCTCTAAGAGTTGTTCGCTCAAAGTGCACCCCAGCCACATGACCAGACTTAGCATCTGATTCTAAAAACCTATCTGGTTTTCGAAAGAAAACAAAGTGCAGTTCACGTTTCCCAGGAGAAGGGAATAAAGGTGTAGGAGTGGCTGCCTGAGACAGCAACTCATGAACTCTCCTATTGATCCGATTATTCTTGAGTACATCCTGCTTTGTGCAGCAAATTGAACAGGCAAACAATTTGTAAGTATTGCAAATGTATGGAATGTCAAGATGCCGATGCAACTATTGGTCAAGGAATCAAATTTTCAGTAATGTAGATCATGTAAATTGAACTAGAAGGAAACAAACCTCATCAGCAGGAGTTTTATGCAGGTCTGCTCTGTCAATGTGAATGAACAAATTCTGGATACCTAATGCAATATAAGGATTCAGCTTATGCAATGATAAGGATGTTTTTAGTTGAACTGAAATTTTATAGTATGGTCTCATAGATGTCTGTTTTAGATGTATTTTATAACTGCCAAAGTCTGGTTTGGTCTGATTTGGTCTGTTTAAGTCTGGTCTGAAACTGAAACCAGTCCAATTAAAAACACCCTAAGAACTTCCGGCAATTCTTTTTTCCTTAAAATAATATTCAAATTATTACAAGGAAAAGATCAGAACACATGTTAGTGGTAGTCGAATATGGACAGCTTGGTGATAGGGGCTTTTTACTTTCGACTTAATGGACTTGATGGGAATATCGACTCAATTGTTCAGCCATTAAGTCGTGTATACTTATGACTTAATTGAAAAAATGACTTAATCATTCAGTCAAAAAACTGACTTAATCATTAAGCTAGAAAATAATAGTCCAAGAATAATACTAAATTGATTATGGAATTGATTTATGTAAATAAATGAAATTTGTCATTGACATTATAATCCAATAATAATACTAAATTGATTATCTTAGTCAACTCACACGGTTTATTCAGCACACAAAACAAACAACCTCATATACAAATACTACTTAATCCAGACAAACATCTTAATCCAAACTGAAAAAGTCAGGACTTAATAGGAAAAAAAAGTAAATAGCCCCTTAGTCTACTACATCCAATATTTTACTAGACCGAATTAGGGATGACTCCGCATGTAAAACACGAAGCACTCAAGAATAAAATTATGATTACAGAGTAATACCAACCAAGAGTTTCACGCAACTCCTTCGCAGTGAAAGATGCTTGCACCGGTCCACGTCTGCCAACAACATAAACTTTTCTGCAAGAAATATAATCAGCCATACACTATTTTACAGAAATGCAATTGATTTTCTGATCACATAATCCGTTAAAAAAAAGGACCTTATAGAACTCTCTTCTAGAGCAGCCAAGGCATGGGACGCAATATCAGTTTTTGCCAACTCTGCTGTTGGTCGCAAAAGCATACGGGCCATATCAAGAGCAACATTTCCCTGGACATGCCAACAAAATGTTTAATCAAACCATGCAAATAAAATAAAAAATTAAACAGAAGAATATTAAACTCATACCCCACATTTTCTTCAAATATATGGGTATATAAGCGTGCAAAAAGTTATACAAAAGAGAGATAGATCATTTTGTTAAAATTGGTAAATCAGTAAGACCTCTTGATGAAAGAAACACCCAAGTTTTATCACTTGCGATTTCTGTGAAAAGTCTAACTATATTACAATCATAACATTAATTGACAAAGGTCAGGTTCTGATTCAAAGCGAAGGGCACAGCTTAAGTATAAGATGAAGAATAAAGTATTTGAATAGCTAAATGCCTAAATTTAAGGTGTTGACTCAGTTCAAGCATCAAGAGTCATTTGGTCAACCCTAAACCTTCAAAATTAGCTTGTTTTGACTACTTCTAATCCTTGAAGGTAGACACACATGAAAATGAAGTACCTGACCAACAATAACAGCTGTATCAGTGTTCTTCAAATCTGGAGCCAAGTATCTGCAGTCAGGATGCCCATTATACCACCAGACAAACTCTCTAGCAGGATATATCCCTGACAAATCCTGCACGCCATATACAAGAATAACAGAAATCATCATTTTCTTGACCAAATAGCAGAACATAAAAACAGCTCATCAAATGCTGCACATAGAAATGATAGTAGAACTGTAGAAGTATGTCAATATTATGATTTATGAGGTATACTTCACCAGGAATGCCAAGATCTCGGTCGCCTTCAGCACCATAGCAAAGCACTACCTACAAAACAACGAATGCATTGAAAATTGTAAATAAGAAAAAAAGAAGTGAGAACATTGAAGAGGCCACTAAAAACTGACGCCCTCAGACAGAATTAGTACATAAGTACGTTACCACATCATATAGATCACGCAGCTCAGTCAAGGATATCAACGACCCAAGAGAGACATTTCCAAAGAATGAGCAGCGTTCATCTTGAAGTATCCGAGAAAATTGGTTTATCACATTCTGTTCTTGTGAAGTAAGCATATTAAGAGAACTATCTCAAAAAAATTACACTAATCAAAATAACAACAGCAGCAAGACCATCATCAACAACAACAATAATACAAATAATGTTTAACATAACAAAATAAGCCGTAACTACCCATGCCCCTCCTTAAATGAAAAAAAAAAAAGACAAGATATTGAAGTCACAAATTAATGTAATAGGCAGGAAGCAAAGCTTGCAGCAGCTTTGGCTCGACGTTGTGGATTCTTGTCATATAATAAATTCTGACCAGTGCTGAAAGCCTGAAGCAGTAATTTTACGGGGGGAATATGTCCGAGTGTCTGACTCCTCTATGGAGATGCTCCCAATTGAACGGATTTTAAATGTGGAGAACATGCTGAATCATAGTGAAGAATGACAATGAACGTCACTCCAATGTAGGTAACTTTAAAATGGTTAATATTTAAAACTTTTAGAGAAAATGGTCAAATAAGCCCTCGAGGTCTCGAACTAATAGCAATATTGGAATTGAGCCTCTGAACCATATACCATTACAAATACACCACTCAACCAATTGAGAAAAAGCAATTGAGACTTTTTACCTATTTGGTGCCGGTAACATCCCAGTTCCCACTAGGAAATAACCAGACACACTTCCTTACCAGCACACAATGGGTAAAAAGGTCTAAATTGTTGTTTTTCAATGGGTGAAGTTGTGTATTTCTTAAGGTCATCTGATTCAAAACCCAATTGTTAAATTGCCACTAGTTCGAGAGCTTATTTGGCAATTGACCATTTTCTCTAACTTTAAATAAAATGGTAGTACATATTATGAGGATTAGTCACATTCCATCTTGTTCAATTGTAGAGGTCGATTCTACAATATTAATCTAGTAATAAGACACAAGTACATAACTAGAGATTATCACAACTCCTCATTGTCTCATTATATTTTCCGTGCAATGGAACAATCTATGATGATAAGGGATGTGGGATTTCATCTCATTTATGCAAAAAGATTGCAACTTAAGTGGTTAACGTAGGTCAAAGGCCGAGTAGTGAATAGTATCGACTACTCAGAAGCACTCGATGATTGCTCGTTACTCTACACAATGATGATGATGCTTAGTGTATTTTTAAGGAGTGATACACAAGATAGCTTAAATACATCGAATCCTGGTACTCAATTCATCTTCCCTTCTCCCAAAAATATGGATTGTGCTATTTAAACACATCTTTAAGCTAAAACTCAGCATTCAATATTCACGAGGTCTGCTAGCTATACATACATATCACTCATATTCAGCTCACAACTAGTTTACTCAAAGACAACAAAGATCAAGAAGATGAAAGGTGAGAAGTACATGATTAAATACTTCATTTGACATTGCTTTTACAGTCCATGACTATTACATTAAAGTTGGACAAGCCTGGGACCCGGTTTGAAAATAATTGAAACAATGAATACTGACCCATTTTACAAACATCAAATTTCAAGCATGTAAGATACGTAAAAAAGGATAAAAGGGCAGCCCAGTGGCATTGGCGTCCCCGCAAGGCGAGGGTCCTGGGATGGTCCCACCACAAGGGTGTAAGATAAGAAAACTTCCAAAAAAGGTACCAATTCAAATAAACAACAAAAGAAGTCCAACTATTATCATCACAAAATAAATTTTTATTTTAGGTAATTAGGTATTAAAATAAAAATTTGAGGTAACCTTTTTCTGTATACTCATTTTTCTGTTGTAAAATGTGTACAAGGACACACAAATTTAATTTACCAGCAGTGTCCAACACATATCTCAGGCTCTTGCCCTCATAAATGTGTATATCACAAACCCACAAGTGGAAGATTAAGAGAGGATAAAAACAGACCTTGGTTTCAGGATGATCTGGAGCAACACCATATTGGACTAACCCAAATGGCGTCGGTAACCGATCGAGTATGTTGACTTCAGCTCTTTCATGTGCTTTAAGAATCTAATATTGCAAACCAAATAGACTAATGAACAGAGAGAAATACAAAAAATGGATTTTTAATAGAAATTTAAATTATTAGAGAAATTTAATTCACCCAAAAATTAAAATGTGATAGCAAATCTAATTAAAGAAAGTACCTTATCGGCAGTGTAAAATCCAGCAGGCCCACTACCAACAATACAGACTTGTAGTGATCTTGAAGAAATTGTAGTGAGGCTACGAGTAAGGTGATGCAGCATTCTTGGAAAGGCCATTCCAGTTACTGATCAGAGCTTTTCAGTGTATCTTACCACCGCTAATAATGCAATTTTCTTCGCTAATTTCCCGTAAAGAGTGACTGAAGAAGCATAAACAGAAATAAGGGTATAAGCTGTCCAGTAAAGAAGTGCCTGTGAAATGTTAATTATTTGCTTAAATTTTTAATCGTTAGTTGTTTCCAATCAAAGGTATAGTCAAGTTGTGCAGACTGCAAAGAACTAATCATTTAGTACAAAACGTTAACCGTACTCAAACTATAGCCATAACGATAGATGTATAGCTATTCTGTTGTTGAGAGTAACAAAATTCAACCTTTGAAATTTATACCCAGCCGCAGCCAAAAGACGTACATGTATATCTCTAGCCTGGCAGGAATGATTTAAACAGAAAACCCTTGACACAGACATGGGCTGTTGATTTGTCAATAATGGGTTAACATAACCATTGAGTTCAACACATATCTTTTAAGCACTAACAATAATCAAGTCACTCGAACAATAAAATTCAAAAGTTAACACATTCATAATCCAAATGTCAGTCTTCATTACCCCAAAATACACATTCAATCTATAAAAATAAACTCATCTAAGTTTAAAACATGCACAGAAGAGAAAAGTAGAGAAGTATAGATAGTAGATACAATAATCTCATGGCTTCTAAATGGTCACTAACACTGATAAACTCGTGAGTTATGGAAGCCTACACATTAGTGCTTTAACTCATTCAAAGATTCATTTATCATTCATAGATTGTTTAAAATACGAAATTGAAAATAGAAATCTGATTTATTAGCACACCATTTTCAGCTTGATGCACTACCCTAATCACGATGACAATGAAATCAGCATTGTTTGGGGTCTTAAGCCAGTTGACAGCAGATATATAGTACATGTCTTTTAAAGACAATGTACCTTGAGAATTAAAACAACTCAGAAATTGTGAAGTGAAATCAACTTTCCACGTCTTGAAAACATGAAAGTCAACTATGAAAGAAGTCCAATATCCTGAGTCATACATTTCAAAAAATACTAATATTGGTTTCGATAAGTACAAACAGTTTAAATAGTTATTTTAGACGGTTGATGCAGGGGCAGATCTAGCATTTCAATTCTGTGTGGGCCAAAAATGTGATACATAATTACATACATAAAATAACGTCAATTAGTTCATCTTTAATAGGTGTAAAGTATCTCTTAAAAGCTACCTTCATTAGCTTCTTCAACTAAACAACTGATTTTAAATTTTGTTGTGCAACAGCTTCAAAGCTTGGAGTTCCTGTATGAGAAATAAGCCTATAATAATACTTGTAGTTACAATAAATTGTTGCTTTTTTTTACATCATAAAAGTAATGCCTCACCGCATCAAATTTATTGATTGAAACACAAAAACAAATACAATATGTGCACATCACCTTAGCCTATGTACACTTATACTACAATATGAGGTTGTTTGGTAACACTGAAATTGGTTGACTCGGCTGATTCTGCTGAAATTTATTAAGTTATGGCTAAAGTGGCTGTATTGGCTGATTCTACTGAAATTTATTAAGAGCCCATTCGGTAGCACGAAAATCAGCAATTTTGGCTGATTCTGCTGAAATTTATGAAGTTCTGGCTGAAGTGGCTGCATTGGTTGATTCTGCTGATATAAGAAAAAATTATTTTTAAAATATATTTTATTAATAAAATAAAGAAAACATTACATGTAAAAATAGCTAAAATGGTCATCTACAGTAACTTCAGCCAATACAGCCAGAAAAGTAACTCCAACCTTACTTTTTCTCTTATTACACAATCGAGCGCGCGAAAGCAAAATTTACGTGTTTGGTGAAAAAGTTGGCTAATAAGCCTGATAATCCAAAAAATACGTTTGCCAAACGGGCGTTCTAGCTAAAGTGGCTGTATTGGCTGATTTATAAATAAAAAAATTAACACATTTTTATCGATAAAATAAAGAAAAATTATATGAAAAAATAGCTTAAATGGTATGATAATTTGTATGAATGTAATACAAGAAGAAATAAAACATAAATAAAGATGACAATGGTGATGAATTACCGATAATGTATGTCACAATACAAGTTACTAATAAACTATTAATTGTAAACCCAAAATAACACGTATAAAGTATTAATGATTAGTGTAAAGTGTAAACAACTGCAAACTTAACAACCTAATATCATAATTAAACCAATTTGTTAAATATACTTAGTTTAATTACTTAAATAAATAAATAACAACCTAATTCCTTAAATGCGATTATAAATTATTGAGGCCTAAAAAATAACTAGAACAAGCAACTCAATAAATAATCAAAACAAGCAGTTTAAAAAAAAAACTAAAACAAGCAACTGCAAGTAACATTCAAGAAGTTTAACAATACATGAGAAATTTAATAAAATAACACTAGGTATTTTATATGCTTAAAAGAGAAAAGTTCACCTGGTTCAGCGAGCCTGAGAGCGCCTAGCAGAATCACCTATTCAACAGGCTGGAGGCGCGGCGGCGAGGCGCGGTGGAGGCTTCACGTAACCCTCCTGGACTTATTCCAACCGTTGTGGCGTCCTTCCTTTGTCCCTGCAGAGCAAATTGCCGATTGGGGGAATATGGATTGGTGTCGATTGATTAGTTAATGAATTTCCTTGGGCTGCTGCAAATTAATATTTTGGGAGTGGGCAATTGGACGGCCGAAATCCACAGAATGCTTCTACTCTTCTCTAGCTTTCTTGCACAGGAACTGCCTAATTATACTCCGTACTATTTTAAGGGGCCTGTGCCATTGGTCTGGGTGCCCCTTCTGTGGGCCGGTCCTGCCCGTCGGATTCTTCTACGCGCTGCGGCCTGCTCCGGCAATCGGATATGACGTCCGGCGGTCCGGCGACCGTGGTGCCTCGGAGATGAAGAAGAGACGGCAACGTGATTGAAGAACGACTTCTAATTCATTCTTGGAATAAATTCATGGGTCTACTTATTTGTTTTTAACCATGGGTAAAACTTTCAAATAAGTTCTCTGACTTTCATAAAAAAGTGAAATAAATCCTTATATAGGAGACTCTGTCCGGCTGTCGCGATTTAGGACGGTTCCCTAAGGAATGTTTTGATGAAATTTTTGGAGTATCTTATTCATCAAGCCTAGTTTACTCATACCAAATTTCAGCTAAAACTTCAATCGGGAACGCATTCAAATTAATTCTTGAAGATAACTGGGCAATTAAATGCGCAGTTATCTTTAAGAATTAATTTGAATGTGTTCCTGATTGAAGTTTTAGCTGAAATTTGGTATGAGTAAACTAGACTTGATGAATAAAATGCTCAAAAAAATCCATCAAAAAAATTTCATCGGGAACCGCCCCAAATCGCGACGGTCGAAAAAAGCTTCCTATATAAGGACTTATTTGACCTTTTTATGAAAGTTCGATGACCTATTTGATAGTTTTCCCTTAACCATTTTATAATTCCTTCATTTTTTTAATTGCAAAACCGAGATTTTTGCGCCATTCACATAACTTATTCGACTATGATTTTCTAATAATATACTCCATAGATAATTGAATTATTATGTATAGTGTTATTAAATTTTTATTAATGTGAATTTCCAAAATATTAACTTTTTAATGTTTACTGATTTTTTTTTTTGGAAGAAGGGTGACTTATATTGATATCACAACATTCAGATAAGAAACAAAGATAAAAGGACCACTCCCGACCGCCGGCTCTCGAATCAGATTTAGAGTCGATCACCTTCCAAAAAGTAATATGACTTGATGAACTTGTAATGGGCACAACAGAGCTAAAGACGATCAAAACAGACATTTCATCACTCAATCCTAATTCAAGAGTCTGACAAAACAAAAAATAGAACGTGAGAATAAATATAGTCTGACCAAATTTAAGGAAAAAATAAAAACAAAAATAACGTTATTAAAACTGAGTTGCATCTCCATAACCACAAGTGTCTCTCGTTGTCCTTCCTTGCCATAAAGCTTAGCTTTCATAGAACTTTTGACGGCCCCAAATTACTTTCTGGCACGGAAGTGGTTCCGGAGGAGGACGAGCTGTTGGAACATGAGTGAAGGCTCCACGGTTTTTCTTGTTTTCTCGTGATAGGTTTCGGCCGGCGATGATGAAGCTTTGCTCGTCCACGATGCTGACAGGGGGCGAGTCCAAGGAGACAGCGGCGTCCATGGCAGATTTCATGCAATCATGGAAAGGCTTGGATCTTGAGGAGGAGATGGAGGGCAAGGAGCGGCCGGAAAATTGTGAAGAGCTCATCGAGGGGGAAGACAGAACGATAGGGGATCTCCTACGGGCGAAAGAAGACAAAGAGATGTTGATTCGTCCCCCTCCTGAACCGCCGCCAAGGAGGAATTGTGCGACTAGGGTTTGGAAGGCTATCTCTATTTTTGCTTTAATTTGTTTGTGTTTTTACTTCGAACCTCATGTTGTTTTGTTTGTCACATACGCTTATTTATGCCACACTTTTACATTAAGTAGGGGTGATGAGATTTTTGCTCTGGCCACGTTTTGCTCATTTAGACCCATTACAGAATCAACGAATCATATTGTTCTGTTGAGGGTGATTGGTTCCCAGGCTGGTTCGAGGGTCAGTGGCTGGAAGTGTTTCCTTTATCTCCTTTTTCACTTGCTGAATGTTTTATTATCAATATAAGCCACCTTGATGCAAAAAAAAAAAATATACAATACGGACTATGGAGTATGATATAGTATATTACTACCTCCACTTCGTTTAAAGGTTTTAATTGAAAAATGGCATGATTATTTAAACAATAATTAAATAAGATAATTCGAGTATATTTTGAAAAATAGTTTTAATGGTTGTATAATAAAATGAGGTCATTGATGACATTTATAAATGCAGTATTTTAATATTTGCTGACTAAATTATCTTTTAAGAGTGTAAATTGTTTTCTAAAATAAAATGAGAACATTTATATGACACGTCCAAAATGAGAACTTTAGAATAAGATGGAGGGGGTACTACGTATATGTTTTGTAGTATAAAGATGTTTTTTAATTGGGTTGTTTTCAGTCCCAAACTAGACCAAATCAAACCGAACCAGACCAGACCAGAATTGCATAGTTATAACTTATAAAGTACACATAAACCAGACATTTACCAAGCTAGTTTAGACCAGACCAAATCAGACCAGACCAAACTAGAAAGTTTCAGTTCAATCAAAAACATCCTAATTGGTTCTTCATGACACTTGAGATTGATACGGTTTTGGGATGGTTCTGAAGAACCAAAAGTTTGCCCTATGATATAGATATAAAAAAAAATGATATGTTAGGGTATTATCTTCTTTTGTTTTTTTCAATTATTTTTACAGATCAGAATGATCCTTCGATATGGGATGAAATATCCAAATCCACCCCATCCCTCATTCTAAGTTAGGAAGGTAAAACAAATTAAATTTACTTATAAAGTACTATAGTGTAAACTGTAAAAAAAAATGTAAACTAATACAATAATAGCAACCTGATTACTAATAATAAAAATTTATTAAATTCAATAATAAGTTATCCCATCCTTGGAACCTAATAAGCAATAATGTAATCACATTAATACTCCTATATCCCTTTTTATTTAGCCTCATTTGACTTTTCAAGTCAATGGTGTCTAACTTTTACCGATTAGATATTTATACACATAAGTATCGATAATATGAAAATGATATGAGAATATTCTTTGACAAAATAATGATATCATTTATATAAGTTCGAGAGCCTATCTGACATTTTCCCCTTAAATCTTACATTAATATACGAAGTATTAGTTAAATTGATCTTTACAACCTCATCATATCGATTAATTATGGGGTTTGATATGTTACTTTAGGTATGTTTTATTTAATTAGTATTTAGGTTTATTTCCATATTAATATTTGGAAGAATAGAATGATTCACCTTTTAGAGCATGTTTGGTAGACATAAGTCTCTGCCTTCTAGCTTTTATACTGTTTAAAAAGCCTCTAAAACTTCTAGTTGTATGTTTGGCATGACAACTTTTAAAAACTTTTCAAACATTAAAAGATCTTTACGAGATGCTATAGGGAGTAACATATGAGAAAAGTCCGTGACTTTTAGTATTAACTCGTGCTAACAACTTGTATACCAAACAGAACTAAATCAAACAGTCAGCTTTTTATCAAACAGCTACCACATTTTCCTTTTAAGATCTTTTATCATTAAAAGCTAACAGTTATTAAAAAGCTCACAAAAGTATCTTTTCAGCTACTTGTGCCAAACATACCCTTAAACGTACCAATTAGATGAACTTAGGAACCGATAGAATAAATGATACTGAGTAAATCATAAGGAAAACAAATATTTACAACTGACCAAGATAAAGCAAAGTAGAACCAACAACCAAGTGAACCATATATGCAAAATCATTTAGGCAAAACACTATACTAGTAGAGTACTTGCTGCAGTAATAAACTGCATAGTAATAGCAAGTACAAGTAATTTTACAGACATGGAACATTAACGTACCCTTTGAGATGCCCATAGAAGAGCTAGTACAACTACTCCTGCATTCCTTTGTTTATTACAATAAACCAATAAAGTTTTAGTCATATTAAGACAAGACCTCAAGAACAATCTCAAGGAACTCTTCATGGGCAGTGAGCTGTGGAAAATGACCTTGGCCATTGACAATCTCAATGGTGGATTCACCTTTGATCTTATTGTGCATGAAAGTGGCGACTGATGTGGGAACGACGAAGTCACGCTTGCCATGGATTAAGGTACAAGGAGTGATCACCTTCTCAAGAACACTCCTATAATCACTCAAGAACACAGTTTTTGCCAATGGAGACCCGATCTCTACCCCCATCCTCTTCAAACATTTTGCGAATTTTTGGACCGAGAGAGGGTCGATCGGGTCGACACCCACGGCCGCAAAGCTCGAGCTCCATTCGTCGTAGTTCTCTTCTATGTTGATCAAAATTTGTTGAACCTCTAGTCTTTCAAACCCCCCTTCGTAATCTTCATGGTTTATATACCTGTCCAAAATTCCATGTTTTCCTATTATATAATAACCATCACTCTATTAATGATTTTTAAATATGCATTATAATGTCTAAAAGTATGGCCATCGCCATTCTGCTAAATGGTTGTACACTTGTACTCATAAAATCGTCACAAGGAAATTGTATTTTTATCAATTACCATTTTAGGTAAAAATAAGAGCCAGTAGACAACAAAGTGATTGAATTAAATGACTTTTATGGTGTCAAAACAAAGCTTTTCTTTCTTTGAATTCTTTCTTAGGACTTAGTAGACTAGACGATACACACATTCATGTCTATACCTTTTTTTATTACGTAGAGTAATATTTTTTTCTTCACATACGACTAAACGACTAAGAAAAATACTCCGTATGAGACAAAAAATGTCTTTTTTTATTCGGGCCGAAAAGTAATGGCCAGCGGGCAGCTTGACTGCCTGACCCAGCTCAGTTGGGCCCAGCTCCGTAGAACTTGGATCACGCCCCCTTGACGTTAGACTTGGACCGGTCCTAACCCACTCCCCAACTGTCTTGGCTATTCCTTCTTCGGAATGTTTGCTATACATCAACTTTTGTTGAACTTTTAATCTATTACTCCCTCCGTATCTTTAAAATCTCCCCATTTCAAAAGTAGGTAGATTAAGAATAGTGAAAGATGATATGAATTATTGAGGGTATGATGGGAAAATAGTGGAATAATGTGGTGGAATGTAGGATAAATCCAAAAAAAGTAGTTGAAATAGTGTATTATTTTAAGAATTATTGAGGGTATGATGGGAAGATTTAGAAATGGGAAGATTTTTGTGTTACGGACGAAAAAGGAAAGTGGGAAGATTTTTAAGTTAAGGAGGGAGTATAATATACGGAGTATGTTCTACTTAAATGATAATATTCTTTAATGATATGAGTTTTGACCACGTGATC